TTACAGATTTTTTTTTCTGCTTGACCAGTCTATGGTTAAAGCTCTCTGTTCATTTTTCATTTACTTCGATATATTCTTCAGCTCCAGGATTCTGTTTGTTTTTTTTTATGCTTTCTATCCTTTGTTGATTCCATTTTGTTCATGATTATTTTTCTATTTTGTTGGTTATCTATTATGCTGTCTTAGAGCAATGCTGAGCTCCTTAAAACAATAACATTTGACTCTTGAACAACACAGGTTGAGCTATGTGTACTAACTTTTTATGTGGATTGTCTTCTGCCTCTGCAACCCCTGACACAGAAAGACTAACCCCTTCACTTCCTTCTCCTCCTCAGCCTACTCAACATGAAGATGACAAGGATAAAGACCTTTATGATGATTCACTTCCACTTAACCAATAATACTCTTCCTTATGATATCTTAATAATATTTGCCTTTTCTACTTATTTTAAGAATACGTATATAATACATATCATAGAATAAATGTGTATAACTGAGTTTATGTTATTGGTAAGGCTTCCAGTTAACAGTAGGCTATTAGTAGTTAAGTTGGGTGGAGTCAAAATTATACATGAATTTTTGACTGTGTGGGGGGTCAAAACCCCTAGCCCCATGAGGTTTAAGGCTAATTGTTTTTTTTTATTTCGGCATATTAATGAGGGTACAAATTTTAAGGTTTCAATAAATGCCCTTAGCCCCCCCCCACCAAGTCTGAGTTCCAGCGGTGACCGTCCCCCAGATGGTGCACATCTCACTCATTATGTATGTATATAGCCCCCTCCCACTGCCCAATACCCTATTACTGTAGTACCTAGTGTCCCTTAGGTGCTACTCAGTTAATACCAGTTGCTGGTGAGTAATATGTGCTGTGTTTTTCCATTCTTGGGAAACTTCACTTACTAGTATGGGTTCCAGCTCTAACCAGGAAAATATAAGATTGTGCATATCACCATTGTTTCTTAGAGCTGAATAGTACTCCATGGTATACATATATCATTTATTATCCCATTCTGGATATATGGCCACTGGGCTGTTTCCATAGCCTGCAATTATGAATGTGGCGCTATATAACCATTCGGTGCAGTGTCTTTTTTGTAGATGGTCACGGATCATTTGGGTAGATGCCCAGGCAATGGGATTGCTTGGATCGAAGGGAGATTCATTGAACCTTAAGGTATCTCCTATTGCTTTCCACGAGGTGAACCTAGTTTGCAGTCCAACCAGCAGTTGGAGTGATTCCTCTCCTCCACCATGCCAGCATTTATTTTTGCGAGACCTTTTTTTTTTTTTTTGATTTTTGAAGGCCATTCTCACTGGAATTAAGGATATCCATTGTGGTTTCATTGCATTTTCCTGATGATAGAGAATGTGGCATTTTTTTCATATGTTTTGGCCATTCTGTCTTCTTTAGAAAAGTTTCGTTCAAGTCCTTGCCCACTTTTTAATAGGGTTTATTTGACTTTTTCTTGCTGATTTTGTGAGTTCTAAGGTATATTCTATTATCAGCCCTTATCAGATGCATAGGATGCAAAAATTTCTCCCATTCTGTAGTTGTCTGTTTACTTCATGACTGGTTCTTTGGCTGTGCAGAAGCTTTTAGTTTGATCATCTCCCCATTTATTTATTGTGTTGCTGCGTGATGCCTTGGGACTCTTCATAAACTCTTTGCCTAGGCCAATGTCTAAGAGAGTGTTCAACATTTTCCTCTAGAATTCTAATAGTTTCATACCTTAGTTTAAGTCTGTTATCCAGCATGAGTTGATTTTGTGAAAGGTGAAAGGTGGGGTCCTGCTTTAGCCTCTACAAGTGGCTATCCAGTTTTCCAGCACCATTTATTGAAAAGGGATTCTTTTCCCCAGCGTATGTTTTTGTCTGCTTTGTCAAAGATAAGAGGCTATATGAGGATGGTTTTATATCAGGATTCTCAGATCTTTCACAATGGTCAATATCCCTATTTTTGTACAATGCCAGATTGATTTAATTACTACAGCTTTCTCTCATAAGGAGAATTATGAAACACTGAGGAAGGAAATAGCAGAGGATATAAAAAATGGGAAATGCATACATGCTCGTAGATCGCAGACTCAACATCAGTAAAATGTCTATACTACCCAAACTGATCTACAGATTCAATACAATACCTATTAGAATCCCATCAGCATTCTTCACAGATATAGAAAAAATAATTTTACGCTTCGTATGGAACCAAAGAAGACCCCGAATATCAAAACCAATTGTATTTTAAATTCTTTGATAATTCATAGATTTCCATTTCTTAAGTTACTTGCATTAATGCAAGGCTACATAGATCCCCCAAATTAGGCAAACTTGACACACCAAAGTTTCTTTAGACATAGCCCGAGCCATACTGCACTATGGTGCTGGATGTAGTTCCATCCATCTGGGGAACTGGCAGAAAGCTTGCCTGCCTATACCTCCAGTAACAGACCTGCCAACAGTAGACTCCATTGTGTATCTGACAGCACACGACCCAGCTCCAGCCCCACTTGATTGCATTAATGGAGCAGTCTGGAGGTAACCCTAACCCTAAACCTAACCCTAACCCTTAAGTCCAAAGTTTCTTTTTGTGGTGTCATGCTTGTCTGATTTTGGGGATCCATGTAGCCTTGCATTGATGTTTCTGCATTTTAAAAAGCAAATATCTCTTCTTGTCTTTAACTACTATTTTGGAATGTACTGTTTCTCCTACCAGGTCTCCAGACTGGTATGATTGCCTCCAGTAACACAGCTGAGTGGGGGCTGGAGCTGGGTCATGTGCTGTCAGATACACAGTTGGGTCCACTGGAACAGGGCTAGAGCCATATCAAAGAGCCACTTCTGGTTCCACAGTCAAGTCTAGAGATAGTGGATCTGTTAGCAGAGGTAGAGATGGCAGCGTCTCATGCCAGGTACTATGGCAGGCAGGACTGCCTCTGGGACCCTAGTAGAGTGGGGCTTGAACTGAGTCACAGGGCTTAGGTACTGCAGTGGGTGGAAATTGATGATCCTGTTACTGAAGGCAGGGACAGGTGTGTCTCCTGCTGCATCCTTTAGCAGAGAGGACTGACTCAGGGCATGATAGAGCAGGCTGAAGCCTGGTAGTGAGGAAGCTTCAGGATCCACAGTCAGGACCTAGGTCAGTGGGCCTATTACTGGAGATACAGATGAGTGCGATTCCTCCCAGGTACCTCAGCAATTGCAGCCGAATTTAGGACCAGGGCCAAGTACAGCTGGAGCCAGTTTATAATGGGATGGGGTCACTTTTGGTCTGTAACCAGGACCACATTCCGTGAGCCTGCCACTGGGGCACACACCTGCCTTTTCAAAGTGGCTCTCCTCAGTCTTAGGCTTCACCAGCATTTTGCAACCTCCCACCTGGATCCAAAAGCTCCTACAAAGGTATTTTTGTCCATGGGTGGCTGCTAGATAATTGTGTAGGGGAACATGAGCTGGGGACCTCCTATTACACCATCTTGCTGACCTGGATTTTTTAACAACCCTGTGAAAATCACAGAATGGCTTCAACATTCTAAGGGAAAGTGCTTTCCAACTCTGAATGCTTTTCAACTTGGAATTCTATGTACAACCATACTACCAACTAAGTGTGAAGATAGACTGCACATGATGATATAGACTGCACAGAAGGCATGCAAAAAAACAAAATATTTACACACACATTCCCCTTGCAGTCTTTCATCAGAAATTACTGAAAGGGGTACTCTACCAAAATGAGGGTGTGCCAACAGGGAAATTCAAAGGTGAAGCAAAAGAAATTCTGAGTAATGAAGAGAGATCCCTGGATGACAGCTGTGTGCCAGGTGTGGGTGACAACCAATTTAAACTGGAGAAGGTCAGAAGGCTCCAGGAGAGATGACTGCAAAAGATGAAACTGATAAAATCCCTGATGTGTTGTTTGAACACAGTGAGAGCAGATTTAGACAATTTGGGAGTGGGAGAATTGAAATAAGTACATAGAAAAACTAAGTAAATGAGAGAAAGGAAAAGTGTTAAGTTCAGGAATACAGAGTGTGCAGGAAAGGAAATATTAATACAATCATAGGATTCAACTATGAATAACATTTAAAAGTCATAGTTACATGACATCAAAATTAATATGTAACTATATTGAAAAGAAAATTCTGAGAAGTTTATGTGTGAAGAGGGTTGTTAGAAAAACAAAGAGGATTGTTAGTAAAAGACAAATCTTCATCTTTCATAGAAAAGAAATGATCAATAGATATGACTTAAAAATCATGGAGTAGTATGTTATGTAGAGATTTGAATACTGCAAAAATAAAGGAAATAAAAGTGTGTTGCCCATCGGCTGCAGAAGAGGCAAAGCTTGGGAGTACTGTTTTTTGTTGTAAGCCTCGGAGAACTATTTTACCCTTGAAAATGAGATTTTTATCAAATTTTACATTTTAATAAAAATTTAGAGGCCAGGCTCTAGCTCACTCCTATAATCCTAGTGCTCTGGAAGACTCAGATAGGAGGATCACTTGAGGTCAGGAATTGGAGACCAACCTGAGCAAGAGCAAGACCCTGTCTCTACTAAAAATAGCTGGGTGTGGTGGCCCATGTCTGTAATCTTAACTACTCAGGAGGATGAGGGAGGAGGGTGTGTTGAGCCCAGGAGTTGGAGGTTGCAGTAAGCTATGATGACACCACTGCATTCTGCCTGGTGACAGAGTGAGACTCTGTCACCAAAAAAATTAAAATTAAAATTAAACTAAATTTTTAAAAAGTGAATGTGGTTTGAGGATGTAGAGATAAGCACAAATGATTTTTGGATTAATTTAGTGGAGAAGGAAAAGCCAGTGATAGTGTGCATGTATATGTATACACACACACATTCACACAATCAAATATATATAATGCTTAGGCATGTATACAAGCTGCAATGACAGAGTCAGAAAATCAAAAGAAGTCAAAAATGCAGATGAGAGAGGAAATGATTAAGGAACATGCTCCTGGCCCTGCAGGGGGTAGGAAGAACTGACCTGGAGAGCACACCTTTGAATAGGAGAGGGGACACCTCTTCTTCTGAACCTTAATGAAAGGGAGGAAAAGATGTGTGTAGATGCTGACAAAATTGAGGCGATGTTGTTAGGGAGGAAAAACAACATTCTAATGCTGAATTCTCAAAAACAAAATGAATTCTGGAATGTGAATCTTCACTAAACATTTGAGATAGTTTTCCTCGTTTCCCAAATCAGTCTCTATGATTTTTTTAATTTTGTCAAGTCAGCATATTCGTTGATCCCTGGTTTATTTCCTAGCTCCTGTTCAAGTCACTCCTGCAATAGCAAATGAGGGCACGTGCTCACATGCACATGTATGCGTGCACACGCTCACACTCATGCACACATCTTTCACTCACCAATACGCATCTACTTACTAAGAATATTCTTTCTGGAAAAACTATGCTGATACTATAGCAAAGAGGGTTTTGGTATTCTCTTATAACTAAGAGAATTTGTTTTCTTTTCCCATCACTATTTGCATCTCTCAAGATTAAAGCAAAAGTAATATCCTGTAGTAGCTACCAGCTTAACTCTTGGAGATTTACACTTACTTAGAGATTGCAATTCAATAATAGGTTCATCAAATTATGTTTTCTATGCATCTCTAGTAGGTACTTTGACCTAAAATTCCACCAACAATGTCCTGTAAGGTCACATCTTCTAAATGATAAATCAAAGCCCTAGAGGAATATATAATCGATTACTTCTGCTTTCTTCAATGCTGTTTAATTTTCAATTTCAGGGTTTTTTTTTTCACATTAATGTGCTTATTAGTATGTTACTTCTGGTCACATTTCAGACACAGATACCTAACATGAATAGAATATTTACAGTGTGGCATCTCCTGTGCTAAGCTTTTTACATTCATTGATTTATGTTATTCTCCTAATAGCCACCCTAGAGCATGAGTATGCCATTAGCTCCACTTTAATGAATATGAAGTGACCAAGCAAGCATTCAAATCCAGGAGTAGCAGGTAGCAGTACTGCTTCTCCAGCTGCCATGGTCCTGGGCAAAAGGATGAGAGCTTTAACCTGGACAATGGCCTTGGAAAAGATTGTGTAGATGACGCTCCTTTTCACTCCACAGCACATTTGATGGAAGTCCTTAATACAGCTGACATCTACTACAAAGTTTATATAAACCCTGCTTCCTATACAAACATCCTTCCTGAATTCTTTAGGAGTTGAATATAAGTGTGTGTATGTGTGTGTGTGTATGAGTTCACATGCCACAAACTATTTCTATGTTATCTTATCAAATCTGACAATACCACTATGAGTTACATATTATTTTCCCTGTTTATAGAAAAGGAAATTGAGATGCAGAGTGACAAAGTGACATGTCCCGTTTTGAAAAGCTTGAGAGTACCAGGTCTGAGAGTTTGAGAGACAGTGCAACAATAGAATCATCTTTGGAACCAAGCTTTAAGTTCTGTAGCTGGGAATAACAGTGTGTATAGCTGTATTCCCCCTCTCTGTTACTCTTCTGTAAATGACCCAGAGGTGATGGAGATATGTAAATATTTTTTATTAATTTTAAAAAGAGTCCTTTTGACAGCACCGATTCAGAAATGAGATATAGATTAATAGATATATAAAATATATGAGATATATGAATGATACTGTGTATATGATATAATTATGTTATAGTAGTATATGATTAGGAAATCCTATATTTATGACATTATATAAGGGACACATAAAAAGTGCATCCTAATTCTCGTGTGGTTTAAATGCAGCAACTAATAGGTTTAAACCCAGCTAATTAGTTTTTATGATACAGGAACAGACCGAGGATGTTAATTACACATAAATATAAGATCATGCAACAATTATTCCTTCACAGGGCTTAATGTTGTACAACTCAAGGTTTAACAATCCCATATGGATGCTGCAAACAGATGTGCCTGGTCCTTTTAAAAGACAAAGGCATTTCCCTAAATGACTTCGTTTCTTTCTTGCTAAAGCAGTCATGCTAATCATGAGTTCCCCTGCCTTGCAATATTCAAAGGACAGTCTTTTCTCACAATGAACCAGGAAACAACATTCTATTTTGCATTGAAAATTCACCTCACAAAATTATCCTGACCTTGGGATGTTTTTAAAGCAGAATCAGTGTGAAAACTGTCCTTGGGCACCACTCCAAATGTTTCCTGAGAAATTTCCACTACCTGAGCTGTTTAATCATGACTTTTACTTTCCTCAAATCTTACTCTTTGGCTCTTGAAAGAGTCTTTGTTTATTTCAGTTGGAGCAGACAGAAGGATTGGCATAGCACAAGGACATTTTTAATAATAAACCATGTACTCAGGAGTTAGAAAGGGATAATTCATTTCTTTTTTGTTAAAGACTTTATTTTTTTAGAGCAGTTTTAGGTTCAAAGCAAAATTGAGAGGAAGGTACTGAGATTTCCAATATACCCCCTGTTCTCATATACGGAGAGCCTCCCCCATTATCCACAGCCCCCAGCAGAGTGGTACATTTGTTGCGATTGATGAACCTACATTGACACATCATTGTCACCCAAAGATCACAGTTTACATTGAGGTTGACTCTTGGGGTCCCACATTCTGTGGGTTTGGGTATATGTATATGACATGTGTCCCCCATTATAGTATCATACAGAGTAGTTTTAGTGCCCTAAAAATCCTGTCCTCCATCTATTCATTCTTTTTTTAAAAATTTATTTCATCATATTATGGAGGTACAAATATTGTTAGGGTTACAAATATTGCCCCTGCACCCTCTCCCTCCCCTCGTTGTGTCCAATCCCCGGTGGTGTGCATCACACACGTTATGGAAGCACACACCCCTTTCCTCCTCCCCCCTACCGCCTGCCCACCACCCGATAAAAAGTTTTGTTTTGATTTTTTTTTGGTCTCATGCTCTGGAACCCTGACACAGCAAGACTAACCCTCCTTCTTCTCTCTCAGCCCTACTAACTGAAGTATGACAAGGGATAAGACTTTGATGATCATCCACTTAACCATTCTTCTCTCCTTTGATATTAATAATATTGCTTCTTAGGATATTATGATACCAGTATATATACATATAATAGAATAAATGTGTTATGGTGTTTATGTTATTGGTAAGGTTCCATTAACGTAGCTATTATATTAATTTGGGTGGGAGTCAATATACATGAATTTGGACTGTGTGGGAGTCAACTCCCTAGTCCCCATGAGGTTAAGGCTAATTGTATATTTTTTTTATTTCGGCTATTATGAGGTACAATTTTATGGTTCATAATGCCCTTTACCCCTCCCCCACAGTTCTGGTTCCACTGTACCGTCCCCAGATGGTGCACTCTCACTCATTATGCTGTAATAACCTGCCCCCTCCACCTGCCATACCCTTATTACTGTAGTACTATGTGTCCCTTAGTGTACTCTGTAATACAGTTTGCTGGTGTATATGTTGTTGTTTTTCCCATCTTGGACTTCTACTTACTGTTGGGTTCCAGGGTTACCAGGAAATATAGATGTGTTTCACCATTGTTTCTTAGAGCTGATGTACTCCATGGTATACATATTCATTTTATATCATTTCTTGGATTCTGGCCTTGGGCTGTTTCCTGCCTTGGATTCGATGAATTGTGCTGCTTAAACTTCGAGTGCAGTTGTCTTTTTTGTGATGTCACTGGATCATTTGGTAGTGCCGCATGGGATTGCGGATCGACTTGGTAGATTCACTTGTATCGCTTTCGGTATCTCCATATTGGCTCCCAGGGTTGAACAGTTTGCGTCCCACAGGCAGTGTAGATGTTCCTCTCTCTCCGACCATGCCAGCATTTTGGTTGGGACTTTTGATGAGGCTTCTCATGGTTAAGTGTATATCTCTTGTGGTTTGATGCTCTGATTTAGGATGTTGAGCATTTTTATATGTTGTTGTGGGCATTTCGTCTTCTTGAATTTGTCAGGTCTTTGCCCACTTTTAATGGGTTTTGATTTTCTGCTGATTTTGTGTTTAAGTATATTTAGTATCAGCCCCTTATCGATGCATAGGATGAAATGAATTTTCCATTCTGTAGGTGGTCTGTTTACTTCATGCTGTTTCTTTGGCGTGCGAAGCTTTTAGTTTGTCATCTCCCATTATTTTATTGTGTTTGCTGGCTGTGTGCCTTGGGGATTCTTCATTAAATCTTTGCCTAGGCCAATGTCTAGGTGTTTCCAACTTTTCCTCTGAATTCTATTAGTTCATTACCTTGGTGTTAAGTTGTTTATCGCATGGATTTTTTGAGGTGAAAGGTGTGGGTCCTGCTTTTAGCTCACAGTGTATCATTTCCCAGCCCATTTATTGAAAAGGATTTTCCCCAGGCGTATGTTTTGTCGTTTGTCAAGATTAGATGGCTATATGAGGATGTTTTATATCAGATTCTCAGATCTGTTCCACTGGTCAATATCCCTCATTTTGTACCAATGCCAGATTGATTTAATTATCTAAGCTTTCCTTATAGGAGAATATGAACACTGAGGAGGATAAGCAGAGGATATAACAGATGGAAATTGCATACCATGCTCGTAGCTCGGCAGACTCAAATCAGTAAAATTCTACACTACCCCAACTGATCTACGATTCAATACAATACCTATTGAATCCCATCAGGCATTCTTCACGGATATAGAAAAATAATTTTACGTTTGTATGGACCAAAGAACCCCGAATATCAAAAACAATGTACTTTTAAATTCTGTTGTTAATTAGATTTCCTTTCTATGTACTTGCATTAATGCAAGGCTACATAGATCCCCAACTTTAGGCAACTTGCACCACCAAGTTTCTTTGACATAACCGAGCCATACTGCACTATGGTGCTGGATGTAGTTCCATCCATCTGGGACTGCAGAAAGCTTGCCTGCCTATACCTCCAGTACAGACCTGCAAAGTAGACCCATTGTGTATCTGACAGCACACGGACCCAGCTCCAGCTCCACTTATTGGCATTAAATGGAGCAGTTTGGAGGTACCGTAACCTAACCTAACCCTAACCTTAAGTCCAAGTTTCTTTTCTGTGGTGTCATGCTGTCTGATTTTGGGAT